GCTAACTGTGAGAGCCTCAGAGTAGATGTGGGTGCTCCTTAAATGCACAGGCAGCGGAAAACACGCTTGGCTGGGAGCACGGCAGCTCTGGGCAAGTCTCTCCTCTTTGGAGGACCTCAGTTTTCTCATCTGCCTGAAGAGGTTGGGCTGGATAATCTCAGAGTGTCTTCCTGCTCTGAGAGTCTTTTATTTTATTATTTATTTATTTATTTTGAGATGGGGTCTTGCTCTGTTTCCCAGGCTGGAGTGCAGTGACTCCAGTCTCAGCTCACTGCAACCTCCACCTCCCAGGTTCAAATGATTCTCTTGCCTCGGCATCCCAAGTAGCTGGGATTACAGGAGTGCGCCACCATGCCTGGCTAATTTTTTTTTTTTTGAGACGGAGTCTTGCTCTGTCATCCAGGCTGGAGTGCGATGGCACGATCTTGGCTCACTGCAACCTCCGCCTCCTGGGTTCAAGCAATTTTCCTGCCTCAGCGTCCTGAGTAGCTGGGATTACAGGCATGTGCCACGTGCCACCATACCAGGCTAATTTTTGCATTTTTAGCAGAGATGGGGTTTCACCATGTTGGTCAGGCTGGTCTCAAACTCCTGACCTCGTGATCTGCTGCGTCGGCCTCCCAAAGTACTGGGACTACAGGCGTGAGCCACCATGCCCAGCCTTAATTTTTGTATTTGTAGTAGAAACAGGGTTTCTCCATAGTGCCCAGGCTGGTCTGGAATTCCTGACCTCAAGTGATCCACCCACCCCAGCCTCCCAAAGTGCAGGATTGTAGGCGTGAGCCACCATTCCCCGCCTGAGAGTCTGCTTTTAAAGGACAGTGCAGAGACAGAGCAGTAGGCAAAGGGATCTTTCAGGAACTCGTTCTCATAACTGTGCATTGTCCCACCTGTTCAGCAGGACTCAGTGAGGCCCCCTCCCTGGGAACAGTAGCCAGCCAGGGCTTTGGAATCAATGGATGTGGGCTCTCCAGCTGCGTGAACCCGGATAAGTCCCCGTAGCTCACTGGGCCCATTTGTTCAGCTGTGACATGGACCGCCTGTGTGCGGCCTGGGAGGCTGCTCAGCCCCTGGCATTGGGACGATTTTCGTCAGTGCCGTTGGCTTGTAGCTCAGCAAAGCCTGCACCTCCATTGCCGTTTAGTATTTGCAGACCCTGGAGAGAGAGCGCCAGCATCTCTGCTTTCCATTTGAGAAACTGAGGCTGGAGAGGATAAGGAAACTGGCCAGTGGTGATTTAGCTCCTAAGGGCAGGGAGGGCCAGGGCTTGGAAGGGTCTGTCTGGCTCCTTAAGGAGGCAGAGGGGAGGAAAAGAGCCTGTAACTTTGGCGCATCCTGGGAGAAAAGGACCTGCCCGCCACATTCCTCCCTCCCCAGGGACACTGTCTCTGTGGGCTCCAGGACACCTTCGCCCTCCCAGAGTGGAAACCAAGATGGGTAAGAGGCGGGGCGCCAGGTCTGTATTCCTGCAGCAGCAGGACCTCCTGAAGGCCACACCAGGCCCCCCGGCACCTCGGGGAGCTGTGGATTGCTGCTCAGTGTCCCCAGTGTGAAGCTTCAGCAAAAGTGAAATCGCCGTGAAACCAAACCATCCATCGAGATTAGGATATGCAGAAGCCTTATGGCTGTGGACAGAGTTTTAATCGCCATTTAAGTGGATCAGCGGATTCTTCTGTAAATCTTGGAATAAAGCTAAAGCACACTCGATACCATGTTCACCTGAAAATCTTCCGACACAGAGACGTTCGCAGGGGGCCATGGAGCGCAGCAGGAGGAGCAGAGATGGAAGCCCAGGCCGGGCTGGCCTCCCCGGGCCACCCCTCGGTTACGGGACCTTGAGCTGGTCACCTGGCCTCTCCCAGTGTCCTCTTCTGATCTCTAACTTGGGCTCATGAAATGATGGTGGAAATGAGGCAGACGATACACACGTGGAGGAAAGGCTTCACTCTCAGCCCGGTGGGTTTCAGTCGGGCCCTTTCCATCATGACCGAGTCTTCCGTTACCTGTTACCGCTTCACAGATTCTCAGGACTTAGCGGTGTCCAACAGCAACCACGTTACATGGCTCACTGGCGTTTGTGGAATTTGGGCAAAACTCGGCCAGGTGAGTTTGCCCGTGGGGTGTTGGCAGAGGGCACGTGGTGGTGTCCAGCTGGTGGCTGGCCAGGATCATCCAAGACATGCCTCATGATCCTGCACCTCTGGCCTCAGTGGGGACTGTTGGCCGGAGCAGCTGCCCGCAGTGTCCCCGGCGTGACGTTCCCAGGATAGCTGCGTTTCGTCCAGGGCAGCTCGGGGCTTCTAGCGCAAAGGTTCCTGAGATCACAGGTGGGAAGAGTCAGGCTCTTTAGGACGGGAGAGAAGGACCTGGCCCAGAAACTGAACCGTTGCTTCTGTCAAATTCTGTTGATCCAGACAGGGTCCTGGGGACCTGTGACTGCTGTCAAAGTGGCTTAAAGCAACACATATTTATTTTCTTGTGATTCCAGAGGTCGCAAGTCCTGAAATCAGAATCTCGGCAGGGCTGCATTTTTTCTGGAGACTCTGGAGGGTATCCGTTTGTCTTCCAGTTTCCAGAGGCGCCTATGCTCCTTGGCTCCCGGCCCTCCCTTCCATCTTTTTCTTAGCGCATCACTCTGGCCCAGCTTCCCTTGTTACATCCCCTCTCCCTTCTGCTCACAAGATCCTCTGCAGGGATCTTTGTGATCCTGTCAGGTATCTTAATCTGTTCCGGTTGCTATGACAAAGTACCATAAACGGAGTGGCTTATAAACAACAGAGATTTATTTCTTATAGAGCTGGAGGCTGGGAAGTCTGTGTGCCACCAGATTCGGGCAAGTAACTGTAGCTCGCTGAGCCCATTTGTTCAGCTGTGACGTGGACCGCCTCTGTGTGGCCTGGTTGGAATGATTTTCGTCAGTGCTGTTGGCTCGCCGCTCAAGGAAACCGGCACATCCCTTTTCATGCTGAGGATTCGGTGTAGGATGAGGACCTGCTTGCTGGTTCATAGATGGTGCCTCCTAGCCGCGTCCTCATGTGGAGAAAGGGGAAGCTCTCTGGGGTTGCTTTTAAAAGCGCGCTAGGCCGGGCACAGTGGCTCACGCCTGTAATCTGGCACTTTGGGAGGCGGAGGCAGGTGGATCACGAGGTTAAGAGATCGAGACCACCCTGGCTAACACGATGAAACCCCATCTCTACTAAAAATACAAAAAATTAGCCAGGCATGGTGGCGGCGCCTGTAGTCCCAGCTACCCAGGAGGCTGAGGCAGGAGAATGGCGTGAACCCAGGAGGCAGAGGTTGCAGTGAGCAGAGATCGCGCCACTGCACTCCAGCCTGGGTGACAGAGCAAGACTCCATCTCAAAAAAAATAAATAAAAATTAAAAAAATTAAAAATAAAGGAGCACTAATCACATTCTCAGTGACCCAGTCCCCTCACACAGGCCCACCTCCTAATGACATCACTTTGGGGGTTACAATTTCAACTTAGGAAATTTGACGGGGCCTAAACATTCCGACCATAGGATTGAGCCTCCCCATATAGTCCTGGTCAGTCTCCCATTTCAGGAGCCTCAGTTTACCTGAGCATGGTGACACACACATATAATCCCAGGGAGGTGCCTGGGCAACATAGGGAAACCCTGCCTCAAAAAATAAGTAAATAAAAAGATAAAAAACAAGATCCTCAATTTAATTATACCTACAGAATCCCTTTTGCCATAGGTTGTCATAAGTGCTCAGGATTAGGACATGGATTTCTTTGGGGGCCATTATTCTGCCCACCACAGTGACCAGTGATGATTCTTCACACTGTGAGACCCTGGGCAGGTTCTGTCCATGTCCTGAGCCTCAGTTTCCTCGTCTGTAAATTGGTTTTTTTTTTTTTTTTTTTTTTTTTGAGACAACGTCTTGCTCTGTTGCCCAGGCTGGAGTGCAGTGGCACGATCTCAGCTCACTGCAGTTTTTGCCTCCCGGGTTCAAGCAATCCTCCTGCCTCAGCCTCCCAAGTAGCTGGGACTACAGGTGCCCGCCACCATGCTCACCTAATTTTTGTATTTTTAGTAGAGACAGGGTTTCATCATGTTGGCCAGGGTGGTCTCGAACTCCTGACTCCTCAAGTGATCCACCCACCTCGGCCTCCCAAAGTGCTGGGATTACAGGTGTGAGCCACCGCGCCCGGCCTATTTTATTTTATTTTTTGAGATGAGTCTTGCTCTATCGTCCAGGCTGGAGTGCAGTGGTGCGATCTCAGCTCACTGCAACCTCCACCTCATGGGTTCAAGTGAGTCCCCTGCCTCAGCCTGGAGAGTGGCTGAGATTACAGGTGTACACCATCAGGCCCGGCTAATTTTTGTATTTTTGGTAGAGACAGGATTTCACCATGTTGGCCAGGCTAGTCTTGAACTCCTGGGCTCAACTGATCCATCTGCCTTGGCCTCCCAAACTGCTGGGATTACAGGTGTGTGCCACTGTGCCTGGCCAACATTTCTTTACGTGAATCTCTGTCTCAAAATAGCACAGTAAGAGACAGGTTAACCCAGATAACATACTGGGTTTTTGTCAACTATGTTTTTTAACTGAATCGGCATCCAGTCCTGGGCTGCATGTTCTGCCCTCACAGCCAAGCCGTCTCATACTGCTGGGACTTCCCAGTATGGCTTCCCTGTCTAGAATGCCCTTCTCTCTTTTGTCCTCTGGCAGGCTTCTACTCATCCCTCAAAACCCAGCTCTGAAGTTGTCCCCTGGGGAAGCCCTCCCCAACCCCCAGGTCTTCTCTGTATCATAAATATCCCTCTCGTGGAGTTCTCAAATGCTGCACTATCATTTTATTATTTGGCCTCCAGACTTTCTGCTTCCTGAGGGCTGAGCCTGCCTCTGTCTTCCTGGATGGTGCCTGGGTCCTGTGTTTTCACAGGGGTGTGGGGAGGACCAGCGCCTCTTCTCATTATGATCACCCATCAAACTCAGGTAAAAACTGCCCCTTTCTTTTCTCTCTTCTCAGCCTCAAAGACAAAAATCAAGGCGAACTCATCCCCCCCGTGCTGAGGTTCACAGTGACATACCTGAGAGAGAAAGGTGAGACAGGGCTGGCTCCAGCTGGGTGACGTGAGGGCTGCTGGGTGCACCTCTCTGGGTGGTTTGTCTTGGATCCTGAGCACCCATAAGCCAGGGGGTGTGACCAGGAAGGGAGGGGCTCAAGCACAGTGGCTCCAGGTCTGGGCTCTGGTCTTGGATGGTCTGGGTTTGAATCCTGTCTCCCCTGTGTACTAGCTGTGTGACCTGGGGCCAGTTACTCACCCTCTCTGGGCCTCCATTCCCTTGTCTGTCCAGTAAGGTTAATAACAAACAGTACCTGACTTGCAGGATTGTTGTGACCCCTAAATGAGACAGCGCTGCAAAGCACTTCGGGTAGTGCTGGTCTGTAGGAAGCCCTATGGAAATGGGGGCTCCTCTGATGGGATCAACTTTGATTTGCAGACACCATTGCGAATGGGATGGGTGCAGTCAGGAACTTGGAGTCGGGTGAGCCTTGTGGGGTCTCCACAGCTCCTGTGGCTAGAACTGAGGTCCGTGGAGAAGGTGTGTGGAGGCTGCTTTCCTACCTTAATGGGAGGAAAGAGGTTCCCATGGAGGAGCAGGCACCAGGGAGGCTTATGTGGCACCAGGGGTGCAGGTGTGCTCGGTGGGCCAGGTGGTCTCCAGCCTGGGTGCTGCAGTGCAGCTGTGTGGGTGTCACACAGGAAGTGAGCGCCTCCCGCATCCCCACCACCCAGGCAGGGCTGGCTCCCTCCAGCCTCCAAAGCTCAGCTCAATGGTTGCTTCCTCAGGGAATTCCCCCAACATGGCCAAAGCCCCTAAAGCAGACCCCAGCTCTGCCACGGACGCAGCACCGTGGGCCCCGAGACCCCACCACCCTGTGGTCCGTGTCTCATGTTCCATCCGGCAGGGAGTTCCCATGCAGCGGTTCTGAAAGCCACCACCTCGGCCCTGCACCTTCTGGTTACCAGTGGGCTGGTTTCCTCTTTGGAGCAGGCCAGGTGGGTGGTCTTTGAAAAACCTGCTTCAGACAGGCGGGGCCTGGAGAACCCATCCTCACCTGTAGGACAGGGTGCCCAGGAAATGCGCTTTGGCACGAGAGTCTGTGCACACGGGGATGGCATCAGTGAGCAGATGTGCTGGGCAGGGGCATGGGGGGCCATCTCCCTCACACCCCAGACCTTGTGGCCCCAGTATTTCCCTGAGCCACGATGCTCAGCTGGCAGGTGAGCAGGTACGGGGGGCACCCCACACTGGGACCCCAAGAGGCCCGCCTGTCCCCGGCCTGGACGGCCCCTCCTTGCCCTCTGCCGGTTAGGTCCTGCTTTCTGTAAGCCCTCTCCAATTCTGCCCCTCTGCCGGACAGAACTGCCTTCTTCACGCGCCCCATCATTCAGTCCCTCACTCGGGAGACATTTGCTGGGTGCCTCCCTCGTGCCCGACTCTGGGGAGATGAAAGTGAGCACATGGGACGTGGAAGAAGCAGCTGTTCCGCCAAGAGCTACCCAGATGCTGACTCCGTCAGGGAGGAGGCCCTGCCAGACCGGGGTTCCTGTTAGGGGGTTTGACGTTGTTGGGGGGCTTCCCTGAGGGAGGGCAGTAGAGCTGAGGTCTGAGGATGGGGAGAAGCTGGCCATGCCGGGGGACGGGCCCCAGAGAGGAGAGCAGGTGCAGAGGCCCATGGCTGTGGGAGTGCAGGAGCATGTGGGGCTTGGAGGAAGCTGAGAGGAGAAGGGGTGGTCAGGCCTTGCAAGTCCCAAGAAGACTTGCACCTCCAGATGCCTGGGCCACAGTCCTAGGTCCTGGTGTTCCGGGGCACCCCGTCATCCACTGCAGGCCCCCCAAGGGTAGGCTCAGGCCTGTTTCTCTTCCTGGCTCTGGAGCCAGCAGGGGCCTGGCCGGAGGAAACCCTTCCCTCCACCCCAGGGCTGCTTTCATAAGCCAGTTACAAGTGCTGAAAACCCTCTTTTTTTTTTTTTTTTTTTGAGATGGAGTCTCACTCTGTCGTCCAGGCTGAAGTGCAGTGGCCGGATCTCAGCTCACTGCAAGCTCCGCCTCCTGGGTTTACGCCATTCTCCTGCCTCAGCCTCCTGAGTAGCTGGGACTACAGGCGCCCGCCACCGGGCCCGGCTAGTTTTTTGTATTTTTTAGTAGAGACAGGGTTTCACCGTGTTAGCCAGGATGGTCTCGATCTCCTGACCTCGTGATCCGCCCGTCTCCCAAAGTGTAGGGATTACAGGCGTGAGCCACCGCGCCTGGCCCTGAAAACTCTCTTTATAAACCGGCCATGGAGACAAGTTTTCTTCTTTGATTACAATCACCTCTTTAGCAGAATCGCCTAATCGAACTTGGACATCATCTGTATCTTCACTGTCTAAACAGCAGCCACCAGCCCCTGTGGCAGTAGCCCAATAGGGCAGGTCATATGAGGTTCATGCAATTGAGTGACTAGATTTTTAATTTTATTTAATTTTAATTAAAGTTCAGTCCCCATGTACAGCTACTGGCTGCTGTGCTGGACAGCTCAACCCTAGCCCTTGTGGGAAGCCACATGTCTGGAGGCCTCCCAGGTGCCAGGCACGTGCTGGGCATCAGCGTGTCCAGTCCTCTCTGCAGCCCTCGGAGACAGGAGCTCATGGCCTTACTCTGTAGACAAACAAGGCAGATAGGCTCAGAGAGGCTGAGCGCTTTCTCTGAGGTCACACAGCTGGCAGGCAGAGCTGGACTAGAGCCTAGGTCTGTCTGAGTTTAGAATCTGTTTCTGCTTTCCCTTTCCACGGACCACAGAGGTGGGAAATCGGGCGGGTTGGGGAATATGGGAAAGATCTGAGGAACAAATGAATTTGTGGAGGCCAGCCACAGGTGGGTGATGCCATAGGCAAGGGGGTGTCATATAACGTCCTGGAAGCCCAGTGGGCTGGGACCTGTGAGACACCCGGAAGCTCCTCTCCTGCAGGCCTGCGCACCGAGGGCCTGTTCCGGAGATCCGCCAGCGTGCAGACCGTCCGCGAGATCCAGAGGCTCTACAACCAAGGTGAGGCTGTCCCGCAGTCCTGAGCCCCGAGCTGCCTGGCCAGCGAGCATAGCGCTCCTGGGCCTCAGAGCAGAGGCAGGGAAGCACCGCCCCCACAACCCATCCAACTCCCAGAAAACACTCAGGGTGGGGGCAGCTGCCCAGGAGCCATCGAGGGGCCCACTGGTAGTCCAGAGTAGGGACCCTTTGTCCAGACCCCCAACCCTGCTGGGACATGGTGGCCGCACGATGCCATTTTGCCTTTAGGGGCTCTCCATCCGCACCAGGTGGGCACGTGCTTTCAGGAGACACCCTGCAGTGCAGGGCAGCTGGTTTTTTATCTGGCAGCTCCCCCAAACTGGCTCAGCACAGCTTCCTTAACTGCCATGTGTAACCTGCAGGCAGGGGCAGTGGCCTCTGAGCTGAGGACGCGTCGCACTGATACGAAGCCGCTGACAAGACTTGTCCTCGATCCCACTCGCTCCCGCGACCAGTTGTGCATCATACAAAAATGGAGCATTGGGTCTGCACTGGGCTGAGCTCAGGACTGCCTGTCTCAGGCCCGAGGCCTGCAGTGTCATCTCTGCCATGGCCCTGACCTCAGAGAGCTGGCATTGTAGCTGGGAGCAACAGCACACCACAGAGAAGCCAGCAGCCCACCCCATCCTCCACTGGGAGCCCAGGAGGAGGCAGTGAGGGCGGTGTAGGGGCTGATGGGGCTAGAGCACCCCATTTGTAGGTGGGGACAGCATCATCCCCAGGACACGTGGCTCCAGCATCAGGCACTTCCCATCCGGACATCTCACGCCCTGTCTCAGAGCTCGTTCTATAGCCGAAGTGCCCAGGCCGGGGTGCAGACCTCAGCAGTGCCATGTTCTGTGTGCAGGGAAGCCCGTGAACTTTGACGACTACGGGGACATTCACATCCCTGCGGTGATCCTGAAGACCTTCCTGCGAGAGCTGCCGCAGCCGCTTCTGACCTTCCAGGCCTACGAGCAGATTCTCGGGATCACCTGTGCGTAGCTGCCCTGGGGCGGGAGTGGGAGGGGCTTGGTCCTCAGATGCTGTCCCCCAGCTACTGGCCCAGGGTCAGGCTCTGGGGTGGCTGAGGTGGCGTGTACCCACCCTCATTCTGTTGCCACCTGGCACTGCAGGGCAAGAGAGGGGGTTGTTGGGGCTGCCCCACCGTGGACAGCCAGGCCACACTGTCCAAAGGCAGAGCAGGTGCGGTCGGTCAGGGTTGTCCTGGCCGGTCTCTCAGGCGCAGCTGGGCCGGGAGGCAGGGTGATGGGGGGCTTTCTAGATTTGGGGCTCATCATCCTGGTCAAAGTCCTGCCTATACCACCTCCCAGCCCCCAAACCCTCAGCTCTCTCATCTAGAAAGGGGCTCTCGGCATTTCTCCCCCAGTCATTGTAGGATGCCAGGCATATGTGATAGGAACTGAGCAGCTATAGGGTCTGATCCTACAGATGCTTTGTGATCGGTCACATGCTCAGTGTGGCTGAGCACAGATGACTCATGAACAACTCCATAATAGCATCACAAAATACTGGCGAATGCTAAGGAAAGTGATGCCTCCAAAGCACCATAAAACCACTCAGGCCTTCATCTCAGTCATCAAACACTGTCTTTTCAAATGGGACTACCTCCGGCCCCCACCTTTCTTGTTGGAGCACTGTCAGTCGAAGGGGGAAACCTGGTTTTGGTGTTAATTCTAAAGCAGCTGGGTTAAGATATTTTAAAGACAAATCTTGAATCTTAAAATCAGTGTTTCTGGCCGGGCGCGGTGGCTCACGCCTGTTATCCCAGCACTTTGGGAGGCTGAGGCAGGCGGATCACCTGAGGTCAGGAGTTCGAGACCAGCCTCAACGTGGAGAAACCCCATCTCTATAAAAATATAAAATTAACTGGGCGTGGTGGTGCATGCCTGTAATCCCAGCTACTTGGGAGGCTAAGGCAGCAGAATTGCTTGAACCTGGGAGGCAGAGGTTGTGGTGAGCCAGATCGCGCCATTACACTCTAGCCTGGGCAACAAGAGCGAAACTCCTCTCAAAAAAAAAAAAAAAAATTTCTACCCCACTGGGTATTCACATATTCAAGAATCACCTTTACCCAAAGGGCAGCCTGGCCTTTGTCCTGGCCCCTGGGGGGTGACTTCTGAACCTTGGAGTTTCCCAAGGGACAGGAATTATCTGTGTTACTTTTTGGGGGCCCTGATAGTTTATGGTGACTCAGGATAGGGGGTGGCCACTCCAGAAAGGTCAGTTACACAGTTAGAGGGTGCAGGCTTTGAGACACGGGAGACCAGCCTGACCTCTGGGGAGGGCAGGGGGCTGGAGATTGATTTCAATCACAAGGCATCCCTCCAAGGTCACTGGATGCCAAACTCCCCTCAAAGGCAAGTGTACACCCATTTACTCAGCAGTGCTCCTAAGTGCCTGCCAGATGCCAGGCCCTGTCTGAGATGGAGAGGGTCTCTCCTACAGCCTGGAAGACTATGAAAGATGTTGAGGGCTGACTGACTTTGGCTAGTGGATGGGAAGCCTGGGAGAGTTCAGAGCCAGGCTGAGCCTCATGGAGACAAATTTGATCATGTGTGTAGAGGTAGCTATCTGGTGGCGACAGAGAAGGAGGCACTCCGTTCAGCATCCTCCCACCAGCCGGGCCCAGGGCAGGCAAGATGGACAATGCTCCATCACCTGAATGTGCCAGGCTCTGTCCTAGAGAGAAACTTCCAGAAGCTTCCTGATTTCATTAGCCCCTGCAGAGGGATGATGACTCCAGCCTCTGTAGGTTCCTGCTTGAGAAAACTCAATGCTACCAGGAGAACTTACTTTTTCTTCCAGCCACAACCTGGTGACAGGGAGATAGGCCCTGGAACCCCTCTGTGAGCAGCAGTTCCTTTAGAAAGCTTGCAGTTGTGGGCCAGGCACAGTGGCTCATGCCTGTAATCCCAGCACTTTGAGAGGCTGAGCCATATTTGGAATGGTGGTGTTCTGGACCCCAGCATTCCCCCGTTTGAAACTTTCCCCAGGAAGTTTTACAGTCCAGAAACATAGTTGGTAGATTGTCTCATGCTGCATGAATCCTTCTGTCAGTGCTGTGACTAGATCACTCCAGGTAAACAGTTGTGTCTCATTTCAGAAGGTAGTGGTGGAGGTGGGAGTAGGGTGACTACCTAAGTCAGCCTGTTAATAAGGGGCCTTTCTATGTCAACAAACGTGAAGTTCAGTGGTTTGAACAAACCATAAACTCTGGAGTTTTTTGTTGTTTTTTGTTTTGTTTTTGAAGTGGAGTCTCGCTCTGTCACCCAGGCTACAGTTCAGTGGCACAATCTCGGCTCACTGCAACCTCCACCTCCCAGGTTCAAGCAATTCTCCTGCCTCAGCCTCCCGAGTAGCTGGGACTACAGGTGTGTGGCACCACGCCCAGCTAAATTTTTGTATTTTTAGGAGAGAGAGGGTTTCACCGTGTTAGCCAGGATGGTCTCAAGCTCCTGACCTCGTGATCCGCCCGCCTTGGCCTCCCAAACTGCTGGGATTACAGGCGTGAGCCACCGTGTCTGGCCTAAACTCTATTTTTTCAGTCAAGAGAACATTTAGTTGAGAAGATTCCTAGATGTTGGCTTGAAGTATCTTTTCATGGTAGAGTGAGAGTGGCAGCAGCCGGCCAGTGAATTTCATAGTGTGCAATTTAGATGTCTTTGGTGATGGCACTGGGTGTTCCGGTGAACTTTCTGAGCGGCCTGTACAGCAGGAGGCACAAGTATTATCTGTACATTGTCTGCTGTGATGATTTCTTTGAAGTTTGTATCAAGTCTTCCAGCGTCAGCTTTCGGGCTTTGGGGAAGTGGCAGGTTTTAGGTCTTTGTCATGCCAACTGAGGGGGCAGGAGCAAAACTGGAAATGTTAGCTTGGAGCATTGTAGCCAGATATTGGAGGAAATGAGAGGAACTGAGAACTCGCAAGCGTGCACCATAGTTTTCCACTGGAACATCATTTCTCCATACGGTGCTTCTCTTGATTCTCAATTACCAAAAATTTGCCATCAGGGCCAGGTGTGGTGGCTCACTCCTGTAATCCCAGCACTTTGGGAGACTGAGGCGGGCGGATCACCTGAGGTCGGGAGTTCAAGACCAGCCTGACCAACATGGAGAACTCCCATCTCTACTAAAAATACAAAATTAGCCGGGCGTGGTGGCATACACCTATAATCCCAGCTATTCAGGAGGCTGAGGCAGGAGAATTGCTTGAAACCCGGGAGGTGGAGGTTGCAGTGAGCCGAGATCTCGCCATTGCACTCCAGCCTGGGCAACAGCGAGACTCCATCTCAAAAAAAAGAAAGAAAAAAGAAAAAAAATTTGCCATCAGACTTTGCCTGTAGTATCCTTAGATTTGAGTGAATTTCTCTCTTCTCCAGGTTCTCAATCAATATATTTTAAGTTTCCTGGGCCTGCCAGGAAATGGCCTTCCTTACTCACTGTAATGCCATACATAACACTGAATAAGGCTAGTCATCATTTCAAGGAATTTCCCTCATTTTTTTTTTCAAGATGGAGTCTTGCTTTGTGGCCCAGGCTGGAGTGCAGTGTCCTGATCTCAGCTTATTACAACCTCTGCCTCCCATGCTCAAGCAATCCATCTACCTTAGCCTCCTGAATAGCGGGGATTACAGGTGTGTGCTGCCACACCCAGCTAATTGTTATATTTTTAGTAGAGACAGGATTTCACCATGTCATCCAGGCTGGTCTCGAACTGTGACCTCAAATGATCTGCCCACCTCAACCTCCCAAAGTGCTGGGATTATAGGCATGAGCCACTGCACCCGGCCCTTATTATCTATTTTTAACCCTACTTCACTAGTAAACCCAGCTACATAAAGATATATGCTTGGATTATACTTAATATGAGTAATTCAGAAGATGCAGCTGGTTTTTTTGTTTTTGTTTTTGTTTTGAGACGGAGTCTCGCTCTGTCACCCAGGCTAGCGTGCAATGGCGCCATCTCAGCTCACTGCAACCTCCGCCTCCCGAGTTCAAGCAATCCTCCCACCTGAAGCGATTCTCCCACCTCTGCCTCCCGAGTAGCTGGGATTATAGGCACCGGCCGTCTTGCCTGGCTACTTTTTGTATTTTTGTAGAGACGGGGTTTCACCATGTTGGCCAGGCTTGTCTTGAGCTCCTGACCTCAGGTGATCTGCCCTCCTTGGCCTCCCAAAGTGCTGGGATTATAGGCGTGAGCCACCGTGCCCAACCTATACAACTGTTTTTAATAAACGAACAATATCAGACTAATCTTGTCAGAGTTACTCAAGTCACATGAACTTGAATATTTGGCTTAGTTTCTATATTTGTGAGCGTTTTAGAAATATTTTATATAAATGCTCATGTCTCTCTAAGCCAATTTGAATAGAACTCCTTTAAGGGATTTTATAAATTAACTTGGTAATACCATCAGAGGGAGAAAATTTTCATGTATACATAACATGTATATCTGCAAACAAAAAATTTTTTTTTAAGACAGGGTCTCCTTTTGTCACTCAGGCTGGAGTACAGTGGCTTGATCTTGGCTCACTACATCCTTGACCTCTGGGCTCAAGCAATCCTCCCACCTCAGCCTCTCAAGTAGCTGAGTCATGCACTACCACACCCAGCTAATTTTTAAACATTTTTTTGTAAAGACAGGGTCTCACCATGTTGCCCAGGCTGGTTTCAAACTCCTGGGCTCAAGTGATCTCCCCACCTCAGCCTCCCAAAGTGCTGGGATGACAGGCGTGAGCCACTATGCCCGGCCACAAACCAAGATCTTAGAACTTTCATACATAGTTTCATACAAGTTAAGATTACCTGTTGAGGGTGAAAGTTGTTATCAATATTTCAGGAGAAGGCCCTAAAGATTTTTTTCTTTGCCCAGATTATTTCCAAATAGTCCTTTTTACCTTGTTTTTTTGTTTTGTTTTGTTTTTAACCAAAGGTGTACCTAATTCAATGTGACTCGGAACCAATAAGCCTTTCTGTGGCCATGGATACGAGAGATGTTCTCAGAGTCCCCCAGGATCCCAAGTTACCCCACAGATAGCCAAAAGACAGACTTAGACAAGCGCCCCAGAGCTGGTGATAGCTGGTACCCCAAGATCCAAAGTTACCCCACAGCCACAAGAAAGACTTGACAAGCGCCCCAGAGCTGGTGATGATTGGTACCCCAAGATCCAAAGTTATCCCACAGATGGCCAAAAGAAAGACTTAGACAAGCACCCCAGAGCTGGTGATAGCTGGTACCCCAAGATCCAAAGTTACCCCACAGATAGCCAAAAGAAAGACTTAGACAAACACCCCAGAGTTGATGGCTGGTACCCCCAAGACCCAAAGTTACCCCACAGATAGACAAAAGACAAGCACCCCAGAGCTGGTGGCGGCTGGTAGGATGTCGGCTGTCACCGAGTCTGCGTTGCTATAAAGAAATACCTGAGGCTGGGTGATTTATAAAGAAAAGTTTCGTTGGCTCGTGGTTTTGTAGGCTTTGTAGGAAGCATGGTGTTGGCTCTGCTTGGTTTCGGGGAGGCCTCAGGAAGCTTTCAATCTCAGCAGAGGGCGGAGGAGGAGCAGGTGCCTCACACAGTAGGAGTGGGAGCGAGACGGGGTGAGGTCATGCCCCACACTTTAGGAGATCTCTTGAGAAATCACTATCATGAGAACAGCACCAAGAGGTGGCGATAACCATTTATGGGAAATCTGCCCCCTTGATTTCATCACCCCTCACCAGTCCCACCTCCAACACTGGTGATTACAGTTCAACATGAGGTTTAGAGGCAACACCTTGCAACATATCAGAATGCAACTCACATTTCTTTCTGGCCTGATATAAATTCCCTTTTTTTTTTGAGACGGAGTCTCACTCTGTTGCCCAGGCCAGAGTGCAGTGGCCGAGATTCTCTACTCACTATAAACTCTGCCTCCCAGGTTCAAGTGATTCTCCTGCCTCAGGCTCCCAAGTAGCTGGGATTACAGGCACCTGCCACCACACCCGGCTAATTTTTGTTTTTTTTTTTTAGTAGAGACAGGGTTTCACCATGTTGGCCAGGCTGGTCTCGAACTCCTGATCTCAGGTGATCCATCCGTCTCGGCCTCCCAAAGTGCTGGGATTAAAAGCGTGAGTCACTGCACCCGGCCTATAAATTCTTGGGGCTGCATCCTGGCTGTTGACTGTTCCTCCAGGCATTTGGAAGCCAAACTGGCCATAAAGGCAAGTTCTCAGGACACAAAACAAGACGAAAGGAGAATCTTATCCCATGATTCTCCTCCTCAAAACAAATGACCCAAGAGACAGAGACAAAGGCAAACAGTGACTCTTCCTGGGAGGCTGAGATCACCGAGGAGTCCTCGAAATCAGATTCGTGAAAGTCACAAGCCAAAGAACCCATTCTTCTGAATGATGTTCTGCTGGTCCACATTCAGAAAGGAAGAAGACAAAGATTTTGACCACCCTCACACAATTGCGTGCTGCAGACAGAAATCCGGGAGGCTGACTTTAAGAATTTTTTTTTTTTTTTTGAGATGGAGTTTTGCTCTTGTTACCCAGGCTGGAGTGCAGTGGTGCAGTCTCGGCTCACTGCAACCTCTGCGTCCGGGGTTCAAATGAGTCTCTTGCCTCAGCCTCCCGAGTAGCTGGGATTACAGGTATGCGCCACCACAGCCAGCTAATTTTATATTTGTAGTAGAGACGGGGTTTCTCCATGTTGGTCAGGCTGGTCTCAAACTCCTGACCTCAGGTGATTCACCTACCTCGGCCTCCCAAAGTGCTGGAATTATAGGTGTGAGCCACCACGACCAGCCTTGAGTAAGAATTCTTACCTTTGACCGGCTCTACCAGGGGTCCTGGCTCTCTGCAGCTCCCAGACCGAGCGAGGTGTTCCAGCCAAGGATACCTCATCCCCATGGCTACAGAGAAACCACAGAGAGGGTCAAAATCTTTTCCTTCTACCCATCTTAGGTTCCTTGGTGGGGGCCCTGGTGCTTGGACTGACAAAAGAGATTCACAAGAGAAAAACACACCAGTGTATTTACTGGAAGTTGTACATGACATGGGTGACTTCAGGGAAATGAAGGCCCGGAGACCTGGTCCACTGAGTGTGCAGACGCCAGGTTGGCTGAAGAGTGGAGAGGTGTGGGAAATGCGATGGACAGAGGGGTCTGAGCCTGGGGCAGGAAACTAGGGGGAATGCCATCTTCAGAGATGAGAATGCCCATTCCCTCTGGGTATAGGGAAGTCGCCTTTCATGGGATGGTCTCATGGCCTGCTCCGGAGGAGAAAGGGGAGGTCAGAGTCCTCAAGGCCCAGCCTCCCACGTGCAAGCTGTGTGACCTTGGGCTAGTCACCTAACCTCTTAGAGCTCGCTTTCCTCCTCTCTCTCTACACTGGGGTTGTTGAAACGCTTGACCTGCTTGCTTCCTTGTAAGGGAGTGCTCAGTGACATTGGCGGTTGTGATGCTCAGTTCACCCGTCCTGCCTACTTGCCAGCAAGTGTTTCGTCTCAGAGGGACCCCAGTGGGGGCTGAGGGTGACCTGCACCAGTACCCACTTGGGACCATTATTCTTAGATAAGGTGCAGGCTGTAACACCCCGAGGAGGAGATGGCAGCCACCAGGCTCAGTTGAAATAGTCAAGGGAACTCCTTGTCTAACAGCACCTTGATTTCATGGAATGATGGCTTTTATTAAGAAGCCAACAGGAATGATCCTAGTGGGGAGTTGTATCTCTCCGAGTGGGTGGGTGTAGAGCACCCAGTGTTCACCAGCAACTCTGTGCAAGGCTCAGGGAGAGGGTGGTTGGTATGTCGGAGGATGTGGGTACCTAGTAGCAGGGGCATGCATGTGGCTGAGTACACACATGTGCATCTGTGTTCACTTGTTTGTTGGTGGGTTTTTTTGAGATGGAGTTTTGCTCTTGCTGCCCAGGCTGGAGTGCAATGGCACCATCTCGGCTCACTGCAACCTGTCTTCCGAGTTCAAGTAATTCTTCTGCTTTGGCCTCCCACGTAGTTGGGATTACAGGTGTGAGCCACTGCGCCTGGCTGGGTGGTAGGTTTTGATTGGAAGGTTATGGAGCTCAAAGGGTGGAGGTGGTTGTAAGGGTAACTGGGTGGTCTCAGAGTGTGGGCCAGTTGCATCAGGCCCCTGGAGGGTGGGACGCAGTCTCTGTTGCAATTACTCAGCTTAGATCTGGCTCATTGCCTGTATTTGCCAATAAAGTTTCCTTGGAACACAGCCACGGCCACTTTATACATTACCTGTGACTGCTTTTGCCTCATCAGGGCAGAGCCGAGTAGTTGCAACAGAGTCTGTACCCGTAGTAGTTTGCCAACCCCTGGTCTAGATCACGCCCATTTATAAAGTGATTCGGCTTTAGCAGCTTCCTGGAAGGTGGTGCTACTGGGTGATAAAGCAGCAGAATGGCGCTTGCAGAATTCAGGTGATAGGGCTTGGATCTGAGGCCCCAGCACGTCTCATGTTGCATTGAAATGCTCGCCATTCGAGGTGGGGACTGGTGGGAGGTAACTAGATCATGAGGGCGGATCCCTCACGGGTTGGTGCTGTCCTTGAGATAGTCAGTTCTCACCAGATCTGGTTTAAAAGCATATGGCACCTCTGCCCCACACTCTCTCTTGCTCCTGTTTTTGCCATGTGATGCGCCTCCTTCCCTTTTGCCTTCTGCCATAATTGGAAGCCTCCTGAGGTTTCCCCAGAAGCTGAACAGGGACTGGTACCATGCTTGTACAGCCTGCAGAACCATGAGCCAGTTAAATGTCTTTTCTTATAAAAGACCCTATCTCAGGAATTTCTTTATAGCAATGCAAAAACAGCCAAACACACAGAGGGTTTGCTGAGTAGAGCCACACAGCCAGAAAGTAAGTGGCGGGGGCGGGGGGGGAGGCGCCCAGGCCCGACTGGGGGACAGTCCATCCTCAGAGCTGCCCTCCTCCTGGGCCGGAGCGTAGTGCTGCCCTGGCCCCTCTGGAGCTCAGGAGGGAGCCCCCTGCCGTTCCAGGTGTGGAGAGCAGCCTGCGCGTCACCTGCTGCCGCCAGATCCTACAGAGCCTTCCAGAGCACAACTACGTCGTCCTCCGTTACCTGATGGGCTTCCTGCACACGGTGAGTGGGCAAGGGGGGGGGGGTGCTTGGGGTGAGGCCCAGTGGCATCTCCTGCCATGCTAGGCCTGCCTGGACCAGTCCCCTCCTTGCCCCAGGTCTGGGGTCATGCCCTGCTTGGGCCTGACCACTCCCCTGGCCACCAAGGACTTCATCCAAGGCCTGGTCAGGCACCCACTCCCATACATGCTGTCCCTTGGCCATTGCCTTCGTTATTGGAGTCCTTTGCCCCCATGTCATGAGTCTCTGGGAGGTGGCAGCTGCATCCACCACTGGCACAGAGCCTGAGGCCCTCAGTGTGGACTGAACTGACCATTCCTGTGGAAGGGACACACCCAGAACCGCGTACATTAGGTTCCTGTGACCACACAGTGGGTGGCTTAAAACAATAGAATTTACCATGTCACTCTTCTAGAGGCCAGAAGTTCAAAATCAAGGTGGACTGGGCTGCACTCCCTCCTAGAAGCTCTAGAGGAGGATCCCTTCCTGGCCTCTCCCAGCTCCTGGTCACTCCAGTCTCTGCCTCCACGTGGCCCCCTGGGTCCATCCCCAACCCGTAGACCCACGGCCCTGAATGTTTATCCCTCTCCATCTCCCCACGCCTTTGCCTCAGACCGTGCAGGGTGCAGGCACTGCCCACTGTAGGGGAGAGGGCCTGGGCAGAGCAGCCGTCACATCACAGAGTCTGTCAGAGAATGCCTGCCACCTATTGGTTTTACAGCAAACAATTTTTTTTCCCCCTATCGTGTGGTATAATTTCTCAGAAGCCCAAAACTAAAATTTACTCTCCTTTCAAAATTTTACTTTTTTTGAGACAGAGTCTTGCTCTGTTGCCCAGGCTAGAGTACAGTGGCCAGATCTTGGCTCACTGCAAGCTCCACCTCCTGGGTTCAAGCAATCTCCTGCTTCAGCCTCCTGACTAGCTGGGATTACAGGTGAGTGCCACCGTGCCCAGCTACTTTTTGTAATTTTAGTAGAGATGGGATTTCTCCACGTTGGCCAGGCTGATCTTGAACTCCTGACCCCAGGTGGTCCACCTGCCTTGGCCTCTTGAAAGTGCTAGGATTATAGGCCCGAGCCACCGCACTTGGCCTAGTTTTTTTCACTGGGAGAGACCGATTTCTCTTTCTAGCTGCCTCCTCCACGGGCACCGATGTGAATGCACCTGCTGAGGGATGGTGTTGCATGTTATCCCCCCCAGTGGCACTCGGGGGATCATGCCTGCTTGGGCCTTGGAATACCACTCCCTGGCCACCAAAGACCTCCTCCAAGGACCTCATCAGGACTCTGCAGTCTCGGCTTGAGGAGGGGTGGCCTGCAGTGGGCCTGGCTGGTGCACACCTGCAAGGGGCTGTGGGGACTGGCAGGCAGGCAGAGCCTCATAGGCTTCCGGCTGTCTCACTGAAGCAGGGCTTGGGCAAGTCTGGACATTCTCGCCAGATCTGTGAGCGTGACGCCTGGCCATGCCCCCCTCCCGTTCTCTGCTCTGCCCTGGCACAGCCTCATGACCCCTGTTTCTGACTCTGATGTTCCCCCCAGCTCAAAGCTTGGAAGGTGGCAAGGAGAAGAGAACAGGCCCTGCCCTCACCTTGGCCCGCGTGGCCCCCTGCCCCTGGCTAGCCAGAAGACCTTGGGCAAGTCTCCTGTGCCCTGCAGACCCCAGGTTCCTCATCTGTAAGCTGGAGAAAGGACTCCCGCTCCTGGGGGTGCTATAAGTGTTGGCCGAGACGGACAGGGAGCCCTTCTGGGAGGCAAGCCCTTTGTACTCTTGCTGCCCTTTACGTGCTGGCTGGTCCCCATCATGCCCAGTTCGCCACCCACAGAGCAGAGGGCCAGAGAGGTCCCCTAGTTCCCACCGTCTGTGCTACAGCCCGTCCCCAAGAGTGCATCTTCCCCAGACAGTGCAGTGGAAGAGGAGATGGTGGGGTGTTGAGGCTGCCACAGAAAGTCAAGAGCCAGAGGGTCCTCCAGGACGTCGAGGCCAAGCCTTCCTTTCATAGATAGGGTAACTGAAACTCTGAGTGGGCAGGTGGCCGTACAGGGTCCCCCTACTGGCTGCTGGCTCCCAGTCCAGTGCTTCACTCTCTACATCTGCCCCTCCCACAGTTCAGGAGGGAGTTCTAGGTCCCCACGGCCCTTGGTGTTCACTCCCCTTTTCTCATTTGTGGTTTCCTCCAGGTGTCCCAGGAGAGCATCTTCAACAAAATGAACAGCTCTAACCTGGCCTGTGTCTTTGGGCTGAATTTGGTCTGGCCATCCCAGGGGTCCTCGTCCCTGAGTGCCCTTGTGCCCCTGAACCTGTTCACAGAGCTGCTGATCGAGTACTATGAAAAGATATTCAGCGCCCCGGAGGCATCTGGGGAGCACAGCCTGGCACCGCAGCAACAGGGGAGCAGGGCAGCCCCGTTGCAGGAGGCTGTGCCGCGGACACGAGCCACCGGCCTCACCACGCCTACCCTACCTCCAAGTCCCCTGACGGCGGCCAGAAGACGTCTCTAGTGTTGCAAACATTGTGTATTTCAAGCTACCTCCCACCCCTGTCTGTGCACTTGTGTGTTTTGTAAACTTGCCGTCTGCAAAAATAACCCGGCCTTAGATGAACTCACAACCTTCTAATGAAAACTCCATGCCTCTGGTCCCTGGCCTCCTCCGTGGTTCCTGAGCTGTGGACCGCGATAGAGTAACGCATTTGTTAGGATGGATGTTTTGAATCGTAACCCAATGCGGTTTAACTGAAAACGGGAATGGAGTGGCTAGGGGCTCGCCCTGCTGCTGCCGCCACGCTGCTGGGTAACACAGCGCCCAAGCCCAGTCACTGAAAGCAGCTGCTGCTCATTATTGCCCATGTGTCAGTGGGTCAGCTGGGTGGGTCTGTTCTCCTGCAGGTGTGCCAAGTCCTTCCAATGGCTAAACAAGGGCACATTCTCATAACATAGGCCCAGGCACACACACAAGCGCTACTGCCGTTTTCATGCTTTGACTGACGTCCTGTATGCTCACATCCCACTGGCCAAAGCAAGCCTGGTGGCCAAGGCCAGAGTCACTGTGGGAGGACCCTGCAAAGAGGTGGACATGGGGAGGGTGAAGAATTGGGAATAAAGCAGCCAAGCTGCCCAAGGGCTCTGGGGTGCGACAGGACTCTGCAAATCTCAGGCAGGCTGACTCCTCGGGCTGGCAAGATGGGTCCTGTGCGTCCATCAAATATGGCAGAGGATACAACGTCTTAGTGTCACCTTCCCTGCAAAAAAGCCCCGGATTCACCCTGATTGAACAAGGTTAGGTCACATGCTCACCTTGGACCCATCGCTGCAGCCAGGGAAAGCTCTGATTAGCTTAGGCCTGAGTCCTGTGCCCCCCGCCCTGGGGCTGGGATGAAGCCCCACCGAGACCTGGCAGTGGGGGAGGAGTGACAGCCTCTGCAGGGGATTACCCTCGAGCCCCAGGGAGAAGCGGGGGAGGTTCTGGGGAGCAAACAACAGTCCCCTCCGCAGAGCCCCCGTGGCGGCCCCTCCGTGCCTGCATGGGGTGTTGACCTAGTTGCGCCAGGACCCCTGTACCCGTTCGGATGCTTGGGGGAATCACTGGCAGCCCCAGGCCAAACCCACGCCCAGGGCTCTGCTCTGAACTTGGAGGGTGAGGTCTCTCACTGGCCTCCTCCCTTTTCACTTGCATCTTCCTATTATTCTCCAGCCCCTTGTCTGCCGCTGTGTTTTCTACCCTGCTAGTGCTTGCTGTCCTTAAGGGAGGGGCCTGTGTGGCTGCCGAGCGATCCCCCACGCCTTTCAGTGCACGGCGGGCACCTCGCCCTCCAGGGCAAGCTGGGCCTGCAAGCCAGAGAGGGTTCAACTTTCTTCCAACCAGCCTCCGACCCCGATTCCGTCTGATATCCGGGTGGCAGCACCATGCCCCTGAGGCCCGGCCATTCCTTTACCAAGGGCGTGGATCCTATTACAGTTTCTTGAAGCTGCTTCTGGGCAGAGGAGATGGGGCTGAGTCACGAGGGTACCAGGCTGGTGGGAGCCACTGGCTGAATCCATTTTTCTTCTGGGAGAGGCAGGCTCAGTGGCAGCTCCGTTCCGGGGGGGGAGGGGGGGTGCTGAGCTGGCCCTGCCTTCAGAACATGGATGGTGCAGGGTCACGGGCATGGGGACGGGGATAGGGAGGGTTGCAGAGTGGCTGTCACGCCCCCGGTAAGCCTCATGCCCTCCCAGCTAGGGATGGAGTCCCCAAATGACACCCCTCTTTGCCCAAGCTCATAACCTACGTGAGTCACACGGTATGTTACTGATGGCGAATCCCTGTGTTCTGCAGCAGCCTCTATCTTTGCCTCCTCAGAAGAAAGCGTTCCACTGGGCCGGGCTCGATGACTCATGCCTATAATCCCAGCACTTTGGGAGGCCCAGGCAGGTGCATCACCTTAAGGGAGGAGACTACCCCTCATATTGTCTAATGCCCAATTTCTGTCTCCAAAGAAAGAAGTAAAAACTAAAAGGCAGAAATGAAATCCACAGGCAGACAGTCCGGCGCCGCACCCTGGGCCTGGTAGTTAAAGATCGACCCCTGACCTAATCGGCTCTGTTATCTATAGATTACAGACATTGTATAGAAATGCACTGTGAAAATCCCTATCCTGTTTTGTTCCGATCTAATTACCGGTGCATGCAGCCCCCAGTCACGTACCCCCTGCTTGCTCAATCAATCACGACCCCCTCACACACACCCCCTTAGAGTTGTGAGCCCTTAAAAGGACAGGAATTGCTCACTTGGGGAGCTCGGCACTTATAAACCCCTTCCTTTTTTTTTTTTTTTTTTTTTTTTTGAGACAGTTTCACTCTTGTTGCCCAGGCTGAGGTACAGTGGCACAATCTTGACACATGGGGTACCGAGGCTTGGCTCTGAGAAGGTCAGTACATTGCCCACATTCTCATAGGGATTAGGTAGCAGAGTAGGAATCGAACTCCC